ACCTTCAAAGAAATGCTCTTCTGTGGAGAAAAGTAAAATTAAGATCTAGATGTGGCGTTCGAATCTAGTCTGAAATAACATTACATCTATCCAACTCATGACAGCAGTCCTCTCGTGATGAAGTTTGTTCAGTCGACTGCCTGGCAAGGACAGGCTGAGGCTGCATTTACCCAAGATGCCATGAGCCAAGGTATGAAAGTTTCTTGTACTTTTACAATAAATAAAGTGTTAAGAGGAAGTGACCTGTATATTCACTTAAGTCTTAATATAGGGTTTATAAAGACAGAATGAAGGATGTCTTAGTATGTAGATTCATAGAATCATTTAGGTTGGAAAAGACCCTTAAGACCATCAAGTCCAACCTAAACCCATCACTGCCAAGTGCACCACTAAACCATGTCCCTAAGCATCACATCTACATGTCTTTTAAACACCTCCAGGGATGGTGACTCAACCATATATAAACCAACTCTTTTTTAACAAGCCATCTTCCAATTTTTAACTAAGTAAATGGCCTTCTCCAAGAGAAAAACTGACCTAGGAATTGGTCTACAATCCTTCATTCATAACCAGATCTATTTCTTACTTCTCTAGCACAGCATCACTAGAATTCAATGAAACCTGTAGACTACTTGGTAAGTTTTAATGCCACTTAATTCAATGTCAGACCTCTCTTTTTAAGCCTCTACCTCTTCTCCTCACACTTTAAACAGCCTTCTCTATGAATTCCGTTTGTCACTCAGCTCATTTAAAGCAGCTAGAAGAATTTAAGACTCTAAAAAGGCAGCTTTATTTCAGACATCTGTGTTACAATATGACCCTCAGCAAGCAGAAAAAATTACTTATATTACTTATTCCTCTGCAAAAAATTCATCTCTGCAAAACACCAGACAAAACAGTACATCTCTTCCAACAAACTAGGCCCAATGGGGACACCATGTTTGCCCGTTTCACATTTAGCACGCATCCACACTCACTTGCTCCTTACCCTCTTACCCTCCTCAGTAGACTCTCAACACAGAGTATAACAGAGGCATAGCACTGAATAGTGTTGTGGGAAGTACGGCACAGTGGCAGGAAAAAGGCAACAATAAGGACACTGAAGAAAAGGTGCCACCAAAACCAAAGTACAGCAGTTTGGGACCATACTATTTTTCCTAATGACAAACTGTACCTCTTGGTGAATACAGATTTCTTATTCGTGCCATGATACGCTCAGGTAACCTAAATATATTTGGTTCAATCTTCCACCTCCATTACCTAAATTCTGCCTTCAACTCCTCCAGCTGGGCTGAGCAGCTTACTGAATGGACAGACTTCTACAGAATCCCTACGGTTTCTGGGAGAGAACACCAGCAATATCTCGGACTAGAGATGCACGAATCCAAAGCCTCGATTTGCCTGGACTGAAAGACTGTAGAAACATTGAGAAAACATCAAAGCAGTGTCTTACCTGAACCACCACCTGTACCTGCATGGGGTCAGAGCACGAAGTTTGTTTTGATATTTTCTAGGGACAGCACATCAGCTGCAAAGCCTTCGTGTCAACACTTTCATTCAACAAGTTGAAGGGGTTTTTAATGTATTTACAACAGGACTCAACATCAGATATTACAAACTCAAACAAAGCTTCTACACAGAAGGAACCTATATAAGATCAGCTTTAAGTTGTGCAGTGGTACTTTGATCTATTCTTGCATCCATCAGCCTGCTTCTTTCCATCAATAACACTGCCCCTTTTCCAAGTTTTTGTACATCAGAATTCCTCAGTGGGCAGAAACCATCAAGGTTACTTAGATCAGTGGCAGTTATACCATGTCCTCAATTATAATAATCGCAGCAACAGCGTTGCCACCTTCTTCCACAACTCTAGACCTACCAACAGTAACAGTCAGAGCCAAGAAAGGAAGAGCAAGAAGAAGGACACTACTACCGAAGATTGAGTTCTTTTTAATATTCCTTGATTTCACGATCCCTTAAACCAGGCAACTTACTCCTGTCAACCTACCACAAATCACAACAGACAACTAATTTTACCAGAGAATACAAATACCCACAAGAATTTTAAAGGTGCAAGGAATATATACCTCATGATTACAATAGACTCTGCTTCTCAACAGCATCAGAACAGCACTTTCATCAACAAGAACTCATACACTTGCCAAAGCTTTTTTGTTAGGTGACCAACTTTCTCAAGCAGCCTGTTCACATGTTCATACTATTTCTGAAGCAAAGTCTAAAAGCATGACAGGGATCAGTTCAGTATGACTCTAGCAGTCCTGCCAGCTTAGCTCTTTATGCAATCAAGCCAAAGTTTGGCAACCTACTACTCCCAGATGAAACGTAGATGTCAACGGGAGTTATATGTACATGATTTTCTAGAAACATAATTGGTCCCCAGGAACAGAAAGACTGCAGGCTTGATCTTGTACTGGGATACTTCAAGATTATGAAACACTGCAAAGTGGGGCTCCTGCAATGCTAAATTTCAAGTCCTTGGGTATCGTGGGCTCTTGTTTAAAGTATTTCCTTTGCATCCATTATCACTGTATGCATCAGTCCTAAGCAGAAAGAAACGTGCACTGCAGTTGAACACTACTAGAGTTGGTAGAGGTTCTTAACAGAAGAAACACAAGTCTGCCTTTTACTTTCACACTCCTTTCTAGTCTGCAATGCTTTATAAACATGGAAAAGTTGCAAACAGATCTGCTTTCAGATCCCGATCACCCTTAATCTATCTCCTTAAAAAAACCAGACATGGGGAAGTTGCATCATTTTTGTTTCAAATACTGCTGAACAATTTTCATATTTATACTTTATACTACAGATCTGCTGCAAAGGTAAATAGACTGTTTATTACTCTTTAGGAAGGATTAGAAGTTGTTAGCCAAGATGAACCGTTTGGAACTGTGTAACAATTATTTAGACTTTTCCGGGTACAAGTCTTGGCCAAATTTGTTCTTAATTTTTAAGAGTTATTTCTGATTTTAAAATATCAATAATCTTAAGGAAATTTAACTATTCTGCCTGGCTTTACCACATGAAGGCATCCTAGGGTTTTGATTTTTTTTTTTTTTAATCTACTGCTTTTAATCCAAAATCACAGAAGTGTTATCAGCTACAAGAGAGATTAGTCTTTAAAATGCACTATGGGATTTTCTTTTGTATCACCCAGAAGAGACATACTTGCTAACTAGACTTTAAAGCAATATATAGGAAGTGAAACGATGCTAATATTTCAATAGAAGTTGTTACACTGTTAAATACAAGCCATAGTATCACCTGCAAAGCAAAAGCAACAGTAATAGCCACACAACACAGGAACCCTCCAAATCTTCTAATTTTGCTTCCTCCTTTTACTGACTTTTATAAGAACATTTCTTATCCAAAATTCATTTTCTTCCATGAAGCCAACACTGCCAGGAAGATAAACTCTTCTGAGAAGGTGATTTTAGAAGGAAAGTAGATTTGTAACAGTTATCTGTGAAATACCACAGCACTTTAATAGTAATTTGCAGGCTCTAATAGTAATTTGCAGGCCTGTGAGCGTAGCAGTCATTATGTTGTCTTTTATACAGCAAGTCTAACTTCTTCACAATTAAATTCCCTGCATAAAATTCCATAGAAGTTTTAATGCCTGAGAGGTTTAGAAGTAGAGAACAAAGGAACGTCAATGAAAGAGAATTAAACTCTTAGACTTGTGATTTGCATAAGCTTCCACTTGCAATATACCCAACTGCTAAGTCTCCCTGAATTAACATTTCAAAAACACAAGTTGTAGCAAATATAGTAAGGATTATCCTCCTAGCAGTTGTTTTGTAACAAGTATCATAGAAAGACCAAAATTACTAGCAAGAGGTATCACTTTCAAAAGCCTCTCCTAGTAAGGATGTAAAATATTAAACAAGACCTACCTGAAAGGTTCAAGATTACTTTGTGGTGGTGTTCACTTGCTACATCAAGCACTCCCGAGGCAAAATACTGGGGCAGAAACTGAGCATAGTTTAAACACAACCTATTTCAGATTCCAGCCTTAAACTGCACCTGTACTAGTGCCCTCATCTTTCAGAAAGTAAACTAGACCTGAAAGCAACAACTACTGATCCGATAATGTTATCGGCTCTCCTTTAAAAAAAAAAAAAAAACCAAAAACCAACAAACAACCACAAAAAAAACCCACCACCACACACAAACCAAAAAAACCCACCTCACCCCACCCTTTAGAACTAACTTCCATGAGCAAAACTAAAGAAGTTGGAAGAGATGCCCAACACATCATGGTTTGAAGAACCCTAGGAAGTAGACAAAAGTCAGTTCTACCATTTTCTTGACAAAATATAAGGCTGACTCAGCAGG